AAAATATTTGGCTAGTAATGAGACAGCATATTTAGAATATCATGAATGGCGAAGTATGAAATTTTCGGATGAATTTGTAAAAAGGTCATATATGAGTATGCGTAATATGGAATGTAATATTTGTAAAGAGGTTGCTAGACTAAGGATTTTAAATGGTTTGATTTAACTATAAGTATTGTTGTAATTATTGGATTATTGATTATTGAATTTAAGGTATTATGATATAAAATTCATAATTAATTCATAATTAATGACGCATAAAATCTTAAATGTTGTAAAGTCATAAACTGTAATTTTATAATGCTGTAATAATAAATTCCATCATATCATATCGTATTACATAATGACTATTAACTTTATTTTCTATTTAATTGGATTAACTATTAAAAAAAATTTGCTAAATAATATTTTCATATATTTCTATATTTTATAGATTTCAATTATGCTATACAGTCAACGTTCCGTAAATGCACCTCTTGAGAGGGCATACATATTGTGCGGATTTATAGTTTTCATTTATGAAGGATTGATCGTATTTAGTAATTTTTAAGTTTCCGATTTATGATATCTTAAGAATTTTTTTATTTAGTCACTATTAATTTTAAATTTCTTATTTTTCCGAAATAACTGGAATGCGCATTATTTGAACGATGGTCTGAATTAAGTTTAATTTAAGCCAAAATTCGAAATTACATCCCTTGCGCATTTATGTATCAGGAAATTTTTTAGATATTGATCAATATACAGTATGGCTGTTAATCGCTTCTATCTTCAACATTAATCTTAAAATATAAACATATATTTTTTACTGATCATTAATAAATTGTTATCACAATAGTATCAATTATGTACATAACACAGATTCATTTTTTAGAATAAATGTTTATAAACTTACTTTTTAAATAATCTAATCCTAGCCAACATTAACTCTAAATTGGCCAATCTTAACGACCTTAATTTTAAATTGCTTATTCTGCCTATTAATATTATTTACCTTATTTATCTTTGGGTATTGCATTAGCATATTAAATAATTTTTTGTAGTTAGTCAATTTGAGATTTTATATCTAAGAATTTTTACATGACAAATGCTTTTTCAAACACAGATTAGAACCCGACATAAACAAGATATATAAGCCTATAAAAAAAATAATAAATAAATTAGTTGAATAGAGGTAAAATAAAACGAATATCAAATAATATAGATTCTTCAAGCTTAAGGAATATTATAAGTGCCATAATACCTTTTAAAGACTATATTTAGTCCGATCAAAAATTATACTTCCTTGTATTACTATTGTAACGTTGCAGAAAAAATCGTTCACTAAAAATCTTTATTCATAGTAATGTTGAACGATACTTCGTAAAAGAACGTGAATTTGGCAGAGTTCAAGCGTATACTTTATTAGAGCATATGTGTCGCGCATTTTACACAACAGATGTTTGTGCTTTATATATTATTCACATTTCTACTATATATGCTAATTATGCTACTTCTGCTAGATGGATATGTATCATTTATCGACAATCGCTTCGCCGAACACCCCATCACACAGAGCGATGGTTAATATTTAACGATTGTTTGATGATTAATAATTATTGTTCAATATTACTCATTACGCTGTGTG